CAGGGTTTATACTGAGTTCAATATTGTATAACTGTATTAATTAACTGTGAAATCTAAAAATTTACAGCCACTTTTGAAAGAGATGTACCCTTGCTCTGGAATGTGTTACTGAATATGTTAAAGTTGTAATGAAATGCTTTTTTTAAAAAAAAAAAACTTGAAAATAAAATTTGAAAATTAAAAAAAAAAACAATAAATAAAATCTTGGCTGGGCGTGGTGGTGCATGCCTTTAATCCCGGCACTTGGGAGGCAGAGGCAGGCAGATCTCTGTGAGTTCAAGGCCAGCCTGGTCTCCATAGTGCATGCCAGGACAGCTGGGGCTACAGGGAGACCCTGTCTCAAAAAAGACGAAAAAAAAAAAAAAAGGAATAAAAGAAACAAGAATAGATGTAGAAGCGGAAGACAGTGAGGGGCATTTGAGCACCATGGCTCTGAAACGAAGTGCAACTTCACCCCTGCCCCACCGCCTGGACTAGCCCCACCTGGCAGCTCTAACCTGCAGCTTCCTTCTCACATGGGAGCCTGGGACTCTCACTCACCTGATGACTGTGAACTTGATGAAGTCCGCAGCATCCAGAATCCTCTTCATGGAGCTTATTTCCAGGTACCCAGGGGCTTTGAACACCACCCCTGGGGGCAGGCCATCAATCACCACGCAGCCAGGGTTGAAGGTGATCTTTCTGTAGGGAACCTTCACTGGGAAGTCCACGCCTATGGCCTCTCCTGTGGTCAGAGGTCAGAGGTGCAGCACAAAACAGGATCTTATCTTTTTTTATATTCCTGTCTTACATTTCTTTTCTTTTTTTTGAGACAGAGTCTATATAGCCCAGGCTAGCCTTGAATTCACAGCAATCCTCCTGTCTCAGCATCCAAAGTACTGGGGTTATAAGTGTGCATAGCCATGGCTAGCTGACCACATTTTATATTTCATGTCAAGATTTAATGCCAGGCATGGTGTTGATGCCTTCAAATCCAGCACTTTGGAGGCAGAGGCAAGAGGATTTCTGTGAGTTCCAGGCCAGCCTGGTCTATATAGTGAGTTCTATGCTAGCCAGGGCACACAGGGAGACCCTTTCTCAAAGAGTAAAAAAAAAAACTTAAGCTGGGCCTGGAGGTGCACACCTGTAATCTTATCTAGTTAGGAGGCTCTATTAGGAGGATCGCTTGAGCATAAATGTCCAGGCAACATAGTGCTATGCTGTTTCTCAAAATAACAAAAATAAGGAACTGGAGAGATGGGGCTCAAGACCACTGGCTGCTCCTGCAGAGGACCTAAGTTCAATTCCCAGCATGCACATGTCATCTAACAACCATGTAACTCCAGTTCCAGGTGACCTGACTCCCTCTTCTGATCTCTGTGAGCATGGCACACACATGGTATACTCACACACATACAGAAAAAACACATACACAAAAATAAATAAGATCTTAAAAACATAACAAAACAAAATAGGAAGGAAGGAAGAAGGAAATATTTTGAACTGGGTGTAATGGTGCAGGCGAGTAATTCTGGTACTTGGGGGGCTGAGGCAGGAGGGACTTGAGTGCAAGACCAGCCTGGGCTGTATAGCCACACCCTGTCCCAAAATAAATAAATAAATAAAAAAGTATTGGGGCTTCATGTCACAGTCCAGGGGCACAGCACTTTCACAGCTCAGCACTCAAATAAAAAGGGGGAAGGGTTGGAGAGCTGGCTCAGTAGTTAAGAGCACTGGCTGCTCTTGCAGAGGACCTGGGTTCGGTTCCCAGCACCCACATAGCGGCTAACAACTGTCCATAACTCCAGTTCCAGGGAATCTAATGCCCTCTTCTGACCTCTGAGGGCACTGCATGACACTGGTACACTTACACACATGCAGGAAATACACTCAATACACATAAAATTAAAAAAATTTTTTTTTAAAAAAAGGAGGGAGTAAGTTCATAAATCATGGATATACAACAATATTTGTTTACCAAATTTCCGACTGAAGAGGTCATTCACTTGTTCTCGAAGCTGCTTGATTTTTTCCATGTTTGATCCTCTCTCCTTCTCATTTTCTAAGGATAATTGAAGAACAAACCAGGCTTATTTATGCACCTTCCCCAAAAAAGGATAGGAAAAAAAAAGAAGTATACAGGAGGAAGTGTCTGTTAGCACTTTGCCTGTCTTACTATTCAGTTTCCTTTGGGCAATAATGGAGCATTTAGGAAATTTACAGATGGAAGTCATTATTGATGATAACTTTCTAAATGGCAATCCTATAGAAACAAGTTCCATCTACTTAAAAAGCACATTTCATCCCAGCACTTGGGAGGCAGAGGCAGGCGGATCTCTGTGAGTTCAAGGCCAGCCTGGTCTGCATAGTGAGTCCCAGGACAGCTGGAGCTACAGGGAGACCCTGGCTCCAAAAGACCAAACAAAAACAAAAAAACAAAACAAAAAAAACCCCACATTTCTATTTATGTGTATCCCTGTGTGGTTTTGTACATGAATGCACTTGCCACTGTCTGCCAGAAGAGGGCGTCAGATCCCCTTAGGCTGGAGTTAAAAGTACAGGTAAGCTATCTGATGTTGGTGCTGGGAACTGATTGGGTCCTCTGCAAGAGCAGTCTAAGCTCTTAACCACTGAACCATCCTCCCTAGCCCCATCCTCACATACCAGTTTTGGGAAGGTCTTCAATGCAAGGATGCTCACCTTTACTACCATGCTTCAACATCATAACAGAAACTTAGCCAAAGCAACATAACAAAATAAAGGAATGAGATACCAGGACAAGTAGGAAACGTTTTTCAATATTCTAAAATTTAATTACTTTGTATTTATCTATTTATTTGTATGTGGGTGGGCATACATGCTATAGTACACATGTAGAAGTCAGGAGACAACTTGCAGGAGTCAGTTTTCCCTTTCAACCACATGGATTCTGAGGATTAAATTCAGGTTGTCAGGTCAGGCTTTTCAGCAAGTGCCTTTACCCAACTTGCTGGCTCTAATTGTATTTTTGTATAACTAAAACAATCACATGGCTCAAAATTCAAGAGGTATAAGAGTATATTTAAAAAGGGACTAATGTCAGGCATAGTGGCTTACGCCTTTAATCCTAGCACTCGGGAGGCAGAAGCAGGTGGACCTCTGTGAGTTCAAGGCCAGCCTGGTCCTACAGCTGGTGCTACAGGGAGACCCTGTCTCAAAAAGACCAAAAAAAATTAAATTAAATTAAAAATAAATAAAAAGGGACAAATGCCAGGGGCAGTGGCACACATCTTTAATCCCAGGACTCAGGAGGCAAAGGCAGGCAGATCTTTGTGAGGCCAGCCTGGTCTACATAGCAAGTTCCAGGCTAGCTGAGGCTACAGGGAGATCCTGTCTCAAACAACAAAACAAAACAACACAACAAAAAAAAAAACAACAAAACAAAACAAGGTGTGGGGGGAGGGGTTGGAGAAGTGGCTCAGTGGTTAAGAGCACTGGCTGCTTTTACAGAGGACCCAGGTTTGATTCCCAGCACCCATATGGCGGCTACGAACTGTCCTTAACTCCAGTTCCAGGGGAATCTGAAGCCCTTTTCTGAACTCTGCAGCATTGCACAACATGGGTGCACTCACTTACATGCAGGCAATATACTCATACACATAAAATAAAGATAATAAATTTTTTTTTTCTTTTTGAGACAGGGTCTCCCTGTAGCCTCAGCTGGCCTGGAACTCTCTATGTGGACCAGGCTGGCCTTGATCTCACAGCGATCTATCTCTTTGCCTCCTGAGTGCTGGGATTAAAGGCGAGTGCCACCTGATTTGTGTGTGTGTTCTTTAATATACTCTTTTAATTTTTTTGTTAATATTTTATTTATTGGGCTGGGCGTGGTGGCACACGCCTTTAATCCAGGCACTTGGGAGGCAGAGGCAGGCGGATCTATGTGAGTCCAAGGCCAGCCTGGTCTACATAGTGAGTTCTAGGACAGATGGGGCTACAGGGAGACCTTGTCTCAAAAAAAAAAAAAAAAAAAAAAAAAAAAAACAAAGACCTGGGGCTGGTGAAAGGACAGCAGATAAGGGTGCTTCTCAGCAAATCTGATGACCTAAGTTCGATCCCTGGGACCCACATGGTAGGAGAGAACCAACTCCCACAGGTTGTCCTCTAACTTCCACACATGGCTCCCTCTCTCAAATACACACACAGAAAATAAATGTAATAAATACTTCCTCTCTCCCTCTCAACAGTTTCCTACTTGGAGAAATCACATGACTAGATTGTTTGGTAACTTTCTACACAGAACTTAAGCAGGCATATGGAGAAGATGAGATTATTCTAATGACAGCACATAAAAGCCACCTCTAGGGCGGGCATGGTGGCACACGCCTTTAATCCCAGCACTTGGGAAGCAGAGGCAGGCGGGTCTTTGTGAGTTCAAGGCCAGCCTGGTCTACATAGTGAATTCCAGGACAGCTGGGGCTACAAGGAGACCCTGTCTCAGAAAAAAAAAAAAAAAAAAAAAAAAAAAAAAGCCAGCTCTAAAGTCATCTGATTCAGTGGTAGCTGGTACTGGAAAATGACTCTAAGAATGGACTGACCAGGTAATGCCTGGGCGTGGTTGGAATAAGCCACACATCCAGTTAATATTCGCAGTTAGAATGACATTTGGTGTGTGGTACTGCAGGGTGTTATACACCCAAGTCATCATCCCTTAGTGTTCTGGTGCAACAGTACCATGAGACTCACTCATGTCATAAAATGGTTCAGACAAAATGCAAAATATAATAGAGGTCTAGGGCTGGTTCGGTGGTTAAGAGTACTTGCTGCTCCTACAGAAGACCCAGGTTTAGTTCCCAGCACCCACCTCAAGGAAAACCACCTGTAATTCCAGGTCCAGGGATAGATGCCCTCTTCTGGCTTCTGCAGGTCTACACTCATGTGACATACACACACAGAGGTAAACATAATTAAAAATTTTAAAAAGAGAAAGAAAAATATTTAAAAGAAAAAGTACAACACACGTTAATCAAAGTAAATCAACGTTCCTACCTGGAACTGTCACCTGTATGATCTTAAGCTCTTCAACACTTGCTGCTGAATTTATAATGTTAGATGGATTTACATTTCCTTAAAAGAGAAATCAAGGGTTAGAATTAATAGAGAATGAAGCCAGATCTCTAAAAATACGAAAATGAGTCCAGTGTGGTGGTGCATGCCTTTAATCTTAGCACACAGGAGGTAGAGACAGTGAGATTGAGGCCAGCCTGGTCTACATAGCAAGTTCTAGGCTAGCTGGGGCTACAGAGCCCTGTCACAAACAAAACAAAACAAACGAAATCAACCAAACAAAGTATTACTTTCCTCAGAAGCACAGACTGGATTTTTTATCCAGAAAACAGTAAGTAATGTACCTGACTGGATCTGGAATCACCTGGGAGACATACCTTGACATGCCTGTGAGGAAGTTTCTAGACTGGGTTAACTGAGGAGAGAAGACCCGCCCTGAATGTGGGCAGCACCATCCCACAGGCTGGGGTCCTAGACTGAATAAACAGGAGAAAGCGAGCTGAGCACCAGCATTCATCTCTCTCTGCTTCCTGACTGTGGACACAATGTGAGCAGCTGCCTCACATTCCTGCCACCATGCCTCCCCACCATGACGCACTGTGTCCTCAAACTGTGAGCCACATAAACCCTTATTTAAGTTGCTTTTCAAAAACAAAGATTAATTTTATTTATGGGTCTGTGTCTGCGAGAATGTGTACATGAGTACAGTGCCCTTGGAAGACAGAAGTTATCATCTGTAACTCCAGGTCCAGGAGATCTGATACCCTCTTCTAACCTCTGTGGGGACCTGCATACATGTGGCACATACACACGCAGACAAATACACATAAATTTTAAAAATTAATCTTTTTAAAAAGCTGCCAGCAAGATGGTTCAGTGAGTAGAGGTGTTTGCTATGTAAGCCTGTGATCTGAGTTCAGTCCCCAGGCCCCACATAAAGGTAGAAGGAAACCAACTCCACAAAATTGTCCTCTGATCTCCATGTTGTGTGCCATGTGTACACACACACACACACACGCACACACACACACACACACTTCAGTCCCCTTCCCACAATAATCATTTCAGACACAGTGACAGCCACCCCTGACAACATGACAATCACACGTGCTTGGGCAGCTCACCTTCCATCTTCACATCAGCCTCAGGGTCCTTGTTTGCCTCTGAAGAGACCAGAGGAGTAGACTCTAGGAAAACAAAATTACTACATGACATTCATTATTAAGAAATCTCAGGTTCTGCCAGACATAGTGGTGTATGCATTTAATCCCAGCACTAGGGAGGTAGGGACAGCAGATCTCTATGATCCCAAGGCCAGCCTGGTCTATGTAGTGAGTTCCAGCCCAGCTGGGGTACAGGGAGCTCTTGTCTCAAAAACAAAACAAAAGCAAAAACAAATCTGACACATCCTGGTGGGTGTTTTGTTTCACTTTGAGGCTGGCCTCATCTTGGAATTTTAAGGAGGCATTTTATACATAATAAACACAAAGTGAATTATAATTTTTTACAAGATCATCATAGGGCACCAACAGATAATTTCAAGATAGGGGCTATGGCTCTGGGTAGAATGACTGCCTAGCACACAGAAAGCCAGGTTCCAGCCCCAGCACCACATAATGACCATAAGATGAAGGTCATCCTTGGCTACACAGGAAATTTGAAGCCAGTCTGGGTTACATGAAACCCTGTGTTCAAAAAGGAAAAAATGAGAATTCTATACAGCATCCTCTTATGAAGGATGAGGGGAGGCAGAAATTTCTAGGTACTATCAAACAATAGACAGAGCTCCTCAAATAAATCCACAGATGCTGAGTCTGTTTGGGGGCAGAGGGAATCATGCAGCCATAGTGCTTTTTGGAGTTATAAGGAATTACTAGAGGGGCTAGAGAGATGGCTCAGCAACTAAGAGCACTGGCTGCTTTTGCAGAAGACCTGGGTTCAGTGTCTAGCACCCACATGGTGGCTAAGGACCATCAGTAACTCCAGTTCCAGGGAATCTGATGCCTTCTTCCTGCTTCTGCAGGCACTGCATGCATGCAGGCAAAACACTCTTATACATAAAAAACAATTAAACATACTCTTTAAAAGAAGATGTAGGCCACGGTGGTGATTCCTGTCACCCCAGCACTCAGGAGGCAGCAGCACTACCTCGTGCACAGGCCAGCCTCAACTACACAGTGAGCCCAACGCTTGAGCTGAGACCTCTCCAAAGACACGCTGCAGGCACTGCATGCATGCAGGCAAAACACTCTTATACATAAAAAACAATTAAACATACTCTTTAAAAGAAGATGTAGGCCACGGTGGTGATTCCTGTCACCCCAGCACTCAGGAGGCAGCAGCACTACCTCGTGCACAGGCCAGCCTCAACTACACAGTGAGCCCAACGCTTGAGCTGAGACCTCTCCAAAGACACGCAAAAAAGAC